GCCTGCCTCGGCCTCCCAGAGTGTTAGGATTACAGGCGTGAGCCACCGCGCCAGGCCTATCCTTTTTATTAATTCCTCCCAATGTATTACTATGCCACTGTCTTCTAGGAAGTGGCTTAAAGGCACAAATATTTAAAAAGCAAAAACAGTTAAAAATTATAAATGTCTTCTATCCATTAAACAGTCACTGATGACTATAATTCATTTTGAGCTTTTATTAGAAAAGTTAAAATCTATAAATTGAGGCAGAAAATTTAAACAAAGGATTGTATTAATTAAACTATTTTTTTAAGACACTAGGTAGCCTAGGGGGGAAATAATCATTGATTTCCTAAGTAATCTTCAAATGAATTATTTATTATTTCCTTTATGCTTATCTTTTCTGGACCTGTGAGTTTCAAGGAGCACAAGAACTCTGCCTGAAGCTCCCAGCTGCTGAGAGTAAGCATGGTTTAACCATGAATATAGGTATCACCCTCCTACCCCCAAATACAGGGTGATAACTGATAAAGGGAGTAATGTGCAGCATCTAAGGAATCACACCAAACAGAATTAATCATTGAAAGGGATTTTAAAAAAAAGTATAAGGCAGGGATAAGGCTCAGACATAACCATAGCTATTAAAAAGTCATTCTATCACAGGAACATTTAGTATATAAATTCCTCTTTTCACTACAATGGGCCTCAAGCCATGAATAAAATAAGGTAACCTGGGTTAGGAGTCAGTAACTCAATAGAGCCTAAAAAACATAGAGCAAAACCTTTCTGCTCTTTTCCCCCTTAATCCTTAATTCATTCTCTGACTAGCAAGCTCAACGTAGGCCTTGCGATGTGATGATGTACTGGTTGGCTGGTTTAGGAAAGTTTAAATGCAGGGATCCAGAGCCTGGGTTCCAGAACAATACCATAGTCCCCCCCTAAATCATTCCTTTATCTGGGTGTCTTACCTCCTACATTCTTTGTGGGTAGGAAATATGGGTAAGACAAAACATTTAATAAATTCACTGACTGCCTACTGTGTGCTAAGCATTATACAAGGTATTGGGAAGAATCAAGGAAGATACTGGGGAAGGAAGGAAAAAGATGTTAAGAAATGATAACCCATCCACCACAACTGATTCACTTCCATCATAAACTTTCATCATCTTTAAGAATACTGGATCTTAAAAAATAAAAATTGGTGGAATCCAAATAAAGTCTAGTGTTTCACTCATTGATAGCAGTACACCAATGTTTGGTTTCTTAGTTTTGACAAAAGTGGCAATATGAGATAATGGTAATGCAAGATAACATTAGGGAGAAACCGAAACTGGGTGAGGGATATACAGGAACTCTCTGTACTATCATTGCAACTTTTCCATAAATCTAATTTTATTCCAAAATAAAAAGTTATTTTAAAAATATGTCATGAATACTGCAGAAGGTAAACACTACTCTTTTCCCTAGGATTAAGAAGTTAGGCCGGGCGCGGTGGCTCACACCTGTAATCCTAGCACTCTGGGAGGCCAAGGCGGGTGGATCGCTCAAGGTCAGGAGATCGAGACCAGCCTGAGCAAGAGCGAGACCCCCCCTCTCTCTAAAAATAGAAAGAAATTATCTGGACAACTAAAAATATATATATAGAAAAAATTAGCCGGGCATGGTGGCGCATGCCTGTAGTCCCAGCTACTCAGGAGGCTGAGGCAGGTGGATCGCTTGAGCCCAGGAGTTTGAGGTTGCCGTGAGCTAGGCTGATGCCACCGCACTCTAGCCAGGGCAACAGAGACAGACTCTGTCTCAAAAAAAGAAGTTAACTTGAGTTTCAGTTAGACTCACAAAAACTTAAGCCGGGGGGGAAAGGCTCAAAACTAGAGTTGGGGCTGGGTGCAGTGGCTCACGCCTGTGATCCTAGTACTCTGGGAGGCTGAGGAGGGAGGATCGCTTGAGCTCAGGAGTTTGAGACCAGCCTGAGCAAGAGCGAGACCCTATCTTAAAAAAAAGAAAAAAAACCCAACCAAACAAAAAAAAAAACTAGTGTTCAAAGACAATAACATTTATATCTTTTGCATTAGAATTGAAAGTCTGGTCTGTTTTTAGACCGAAGATAGTAAAAGCACCCCAAAGAAGAGAATTGTACTGGAGATGGCACTCTGAACTTCATTATCTGGGAGATGAACTAAATGAAGATACACTTACAAAGAAAGCATTTAAACAAATACATTTTGAAGCACTGCCATAGCAACAGAGTTCCTAGCTTCTCATGCACGAGTTACTGTTTCTCCCTGAACATAAAAATACTGCAAGGCACTCTTGGGGACTAAGGCCGTTGTTCTGAATAATTAAGACTTGAGTTTCTACAAAGACTCAAAGGAAGCCCTTAGGGGCCACAGCAGGACTGTGGAAGGGAGTGCTGGAGAAGGAACTTGAAGTTGGTCAGGTAGGGATCATGGAGGTAGTGAGGAAGAGCACTTTGGGAGGGCTTGCCAACCCGGTCTGTTTCTAAGCAGCAAGCTTCTTCTTTTTTTTTTTTTTTTTATTTCAGCATACTATGAGGGTACAGATGTTTAGGTTACGTATGTTGCCCTTTCCCCCAGCAGCAAGCTTCTTGTGTGAACCCCATGCGGAGCCTCTCCTGTGTGTCTATGTATTTGCCCCTATTTAAAAACCTGCCTGATATGTTGTCTTTCCATTTAAAAACTCAAATTTTCATCTCACTTTCCTTTATTTATGCCACATTATTCCTCAGCTCAGCGCTCACTTCTCACAGGAAGTCAGTTCTGATTAACCCCACCTGCCTGGTTATGCCAATGGTAGCCTCTCAGGTCCATCTGGACTTGATAACAGCTATCGCATTGTTATAAAGCACCTGACTCTGGATCAAAGCATAGTTCCTGAAGTATATGATGTCTCTTCCTACAATTCAGAAAGCATATTAAATAAGTCAATGTGATCTGACACCAGTGTTATAGGAATATGTCTGAGTGGTTTTTTTTTTCATCTTTCTGAAATTAAAGGGTTACCTGTTACCCCTATTCCACTCAGCTTCCTAAGAGCAAGAACTATATTATCTATCTCCTATGGGCTCCCCACAACACCTTTTCATTGCAGGTGCTCAGTCAGACAATGACACGAATGACTATCATGGGTCCCTCTGACTAGTAAATTAGTTGTGAGCAGGGACTACAACCAAGGCTCCCTAATTACCCATGGAATGATTCAATAAATACACGCTGAGCAATGATCATAAAATGTTGGAGCTAGGTCCTTACTTTTCAGGAGATAAAGGTTTAGGGAGGGAACGGATTTTGCTTAAGATAACAGTGTTTAGCGAATACTACAAACCGTTTTCTGATGTGTTTTGTTCCAGATTTAGCAGGTCTTCAGGTGCACAAGAGTCAGCTATGAGGGAAGCGGAGATGTTAGAAGGCTGGCTCCCATGCTGCTCTAACACAGCTTCCAGTTCGGCCATTTCTTGCTGGAGCTTTATCAGGTTATCTTGCATGGTATCCCTCTGCTACGAAAACAAGAAATGACACCAAGAAAGTTACATACTTTGAGAAACTTTCCATACTCAAGTGAAAATATAACACCCCAATTAATTTTGTCACAGAAATTGAAATCACCTAGTATGGAATTATGAGTTCTGGTTGAATATCTTTAATCCAACCACATTTGTGCAATTAAAGCCCATGAAATTATTTCAGAATGATGTTAGTGGGGGAAAAAAATCCTCAAATTCTTCTAAACAGATTTGCTTTATTGCAATGTCCTTTGAAATTGGTTATTTTCTTTTAAAGCTAGGGAGTGAAAAAATAATTAAGGTACTTAAATACTATGGTTACTTAAAGTTAGCATTAATCTGTTAACATTTTATATAGGCTATGTTTCAAAGATTTGGTACTGTGAGACTCATAAGACATTTAAGTTAGTCCATATAAAAATGTGTGATTTTTAAAGTGATGTATGTTGAAAAAGCCTCCTGCCTATAGCATTTTAGAAAAATACTATCAGTAATCCTACCTACATTACTGGCTCATGAGGACTCTTCCTTTTCTGGAATTCTTTGAACCTTTAGTTTCTAACAGAAAAGGCGAAGAACTAATTCATAAATTTACCTATTTGTTTAGCTCATTAGACAACTATTTACTATTCACTATGCACTAAGTATAATGTCCTACTGCTGGGGATATAGTCCTCATGGTGCTGCCATTCTCAACAGGGATAGGATACTTAGAGATCATTAGAGAGAAGGATGTGCTAGAAGGAAGGATCCAACAGAAAGAGCCCTGAGAAAGACCATAAGGGCCAGGTGCAGGGGCTCACG